CTAAAAATGTTTGTGTATATAAACAGAAATCTTAATAAAGAGTATCGGCAAGACTGCCAAAGTGAAAAAAAAAAATAAATAAAATAAAATAAATAACATAATAATAACATATTAGCAAAATAATAGAACAGTTTTATTATTTTACTTTTAGTCACAAAAACTAAAAATAAAATAATAAAACTATTTTATTATTTTACTATTATATTATTAGTATATTATTTTTTTTTTGTTAAAGTCTTTATCTTTAGAATATGACATTTTTTATTCAAATATATAGAACATAGCATACCACCAAGGGCTACCTTATATTGAAGATTATAACTAGTTACATATGCACTTTTGGTATCTAATTTAAATAGTCAACTTATACATTACTATATAAGTTCTATACTAGATGCTATATCTGTAAGCCAACTAAAAATCTTGACTATTTAAACCTTCTGCATATGCAATCCTTCTTGTATTACAAGAACATCTTTAAAGCTACACTCATCCAAGTTCCTAATACTAGTTGGTACTCTTAAAACTACTTTATTCTTGACAAGAAACTTACTAAAGCCTTTATATCTTACATACTGTATATTGATCTAGTTTTATATAACATGCAGAGGTTGCTTGTTTAACTGTTATATTATATTGTTTTTATTTTTGTAAAGTTTACTTAAATCACTTTTTAGTATCTTTTCTATTATCTTCTACTAGGCATAATTTAGAACTATCAGTCTTATTCCAGACTACCAATTCAAATAGCTCAGTATAATATACTTCTGTATTCTTTTCCTTTGGCAAGTCTAACAGCCTGGTTAGTTATATGCTACTCTACATATAATTGTCATTCAGTTTTAATTTTTGGTTTCTATGAAGATGTTTTATAGGCTTCAACTGGTTTGATAGTATCATCAAAAATTCATGCTATCTCTTTACTCTAAAATTTCCAAGTAGGTTTCTGTTATCTTGGTTTCTTAGTCTTTTATGCTTGGTAGTTTTATCATAGATTTGCATTGAAGTTTTATGCAACATTGGTTATACATTCTTCTATATATATGTAACATTATATATTGTATAGATGTCTTGAGCTTTTAATATCAGTAAGACCTGACTTGGTATATCTGAGTTACAGTCATATAAGGTCAACTAATCAACAAGAGACAGTTACTATAATATAGATATAATTTCCAAATTTTGTTATAGATGAGATTTGAACCTTAGACCTGCTACTTGAAGGATAACAACCCAACTAATACACTAGAATCACCATTCTCTTAGTATATTACTTATACTGTATTAACAAACTTTTTATTATTTTATTATTATTTTGCTATTATGCTACTATTATATTGCTATTATTTAATAGATATAAAATAGAATAATAACAAATTTTTTTTATTATTTACTTATTATTTATCTTTTATTTATTTGTTTGATATATAATAAGTGCATATTTTTAAAATAATTAAAATTTTATACAAAATCTCACAAATATATACTGTTGACCCTTCTCAAACTAATCTTGTCAAAATTGATAATTTGCTATAATTGATTAAAAACTAATCTACCAATTTTGTTTCTAATTGATACCTGATAATCTGCCATTTCTAATATTTGATAGCCTTTTTATTTTAAGTTTCCATTTTTCAAATAAGATTATAAAAGATCAGCTAATCAAAATACACATATGTGTGATTTTTAGGTATCACATATAATGAGAAAAGTCTATGAACATGTACTAGTTATGTGAAATTGCATATATTGTACCTTAAATAAAAATTAGTAATTAGTACATGTTGACAATATATTTGAATTATATATGTCTATAGAACTACTACATATAAATTAAAATTTTAAACTTCATCTTGAATATTTTGAATTGAGTAATTGTCTAATACTAAATAACACTAATAAATTAAACTTTTGCATTGCACAGTAATATAAGAGGTATAATAGCCATTATTTTATTGCAGCATATAATAAATCACTTAATATTTCATCAGCCAAACAGATTAAAAATAGGTACTGTTATAAAAAATATCAAATGGTACTTTAGCTAGTAATAAGTTAATTACTTTTATATTATTTGAATTTAATAATAAACCTTTATTAATACTAATCATATGAATCTTTATTAATACTAATTATTGCATAAAAAATTCTTCAAAAGATAGATTTGTAGTTTAGTAAAAGTATAGATTATGTAATATTCAAAAGTGAAATCTGTAATAATGCTTTTATATACTTATTATAAAGAAATAAAAAAAAAGTCACATCTGTTTTTATAATAAATAAAATTATTAAGGTTTGAAAAAGAACCATTCTAATTAGTTTAAATTTGTCTTTCAGTTTCTTCTTTTTGAACCTCTTCACAGATACAGAATTGTAATTTGCATAAGAACTTTATTGTTATCTTACCATTATCAATCCTCTTATAAACAATCTTAAGAACACTATATAAAATATTCAACTGCTTCTTTCTAGTTAAGGATGATATTACAACTTCATCTTTTACTTGCTCTAATTTTGTAGCAGTCTGAACAAAGTCTTTCTTATTAAATTGCTGATATAACTCTTCATGGTCTTCAGCTTCTAACAAATTTTCTAGTGACATTGAATTGTGAACACACAATATATCAATTACTTGCTAAAGTTCTCTAATATCATTTGGATTTATAGACAAATATTTATTTACAGCTTCATTGTTATTAACAAAAGTAGAAGAACTGATAGATGTTTTATCATTATTATATAGAAATATAATTCTTATATGAAGCCAACAATTTTTGATTGTTTTAGTAATAACTTTACTCTAGGCAACCTTTGTTTATTTTATAGCTTATAGCTGATCAACTTTATAAATATCACATTCATTAGCTTTATCACAATCTATTGTATATTAAAGTTGTATATACCAATAATGAAGTTTAAATGATGCAATAATACTACCATCTATTGGCTATATTTTTGATGTAACATTTGAAAGCAGTAAGAGCACCTTTATATAATATTACAAATTAGCAATTTTTTAATCAATTAGTTAATTAATTATTATTTTTTTTTAATTAACATCTAGTTGCAACTTATTGATTAATTGATTAGTTGATATTAACTAATCGATTAATCGATTAGTACTATAATGTACTAACTAAAAGACCTAGAGTCTAATATAAAATATCTGAAAAAAACTTATAATATACTCAGAGTATTTTAGCTGTTACTGGGTCAAAATTTTGGAATTTTACTAGAATTAAATAATTTTATACTATATATTATACCTAGGTATTTACAAAAGGTGTACTCAAAAAGAGGATTCTTTAGTTAGTGCACTACAGTAGCAATTTTAATCGATTAGTTGCAATTTGATTTGTAATATTACCTTTATATTAGTTAATATAAGAGCTTCAGTAACATATAAAAAGGCATTATCGAAAATTAGTAAAATATAATAGTTTGATTCTTTTATTTCTTTATCTAATCATTCTATTTATTCTTAAAAAAACACAGCAGTCATCCAAGTCTTTTTATTATTACAATAATAAAACCTAAGCTCTTCTTCAGTTTTTTTTTAAAGCATCTAGATTTTTTTGCATATTCAATAAAAAAAGGTTAAAGCTTGTGGATGCTGTTAGTATTGGCTATAAATTTAATAGTAATTCTGGTGCAGGCTTTTTTTAACCCTTCAATTTGACAAGACACAATTGTACAATCAGAGGCTATAGCATAAAACAAACTTGTCTCATCCATATTGTAAATATCTTGCAAGAAATATTAATCAGTAGTATGAATAATATTGGGAAGGTTTAAGTTAATTGCAGCAATATCTGCAGGACTACTCTCACTATGCAACCTAAAATGATGAAAGTTGTATCTTTCCTAAAAGGCTTGCAACTATCTATTAGAAAACTTAAGTTGGCTACTTTCAGAAATATTCATTAGTTCTGCTAATTGTTTGGCTTTAGCTTTAATTATATCTTCATTCAAACATATAGTCTAATGTTTACACTATAAAACTCAATTCACTAAAGTGGTATCTAGTTCAGAAAACATAACAATATGATGTTTTTTAATGACAAAATCATTTGAAGACATTTTATTAAACTCATTCTTTCTTTTTAAAATATCTGAGATTGTGCTTTGATCTGAAGCTTTTAATAACTTAAGTCTATTCTGCAAGTTCTTTTTGATAAGTTTTGGATTAGCTTGGTAATGGTTGCATATTAATTTTCTTTGCTCATTACACAAATTTTTAGTGAAGATAACTTTATCTTTTTTTATCTATTATAATGGCAAGATAAAAGTTGAAATTTATAATTAAAAGTAATATTTAGTATTTTATTTTATTTTAATACTAATTGTAATAAACATTGTAGGCAAAATGATTTTATGAAACATCAAACTAAAAGTAATATCTTGAATTTTATTAATAGTAAAATATGAATTTTAAACTGGGTTTTATTAATATGATTTTTTTTTTTTTTTTTTATTAATTTACAATATTCATTAAATTATTTGGATTCGATTTTTTATTTAAAGCTATCTTTTAACTACTAATTATAGCAATTTATTATTCTTGATATCATAATAAAAGTTTTTTCTTTTCTATTTTGAAGCATTTGATTTTATTATTTTTATGAATTTGATACTAATATTTTAAGTATTTCATTTAAAATTTTGCTTTTTTTTAATTATTTTATCTTTTAGGTTAATATTAGGTTATCTATTACATTTTCAGGATTATGGTGATCATCATGAATGATTACTACAAGATCTTTATGTAAGTTTTATTTTAGTAGTATGGTTTTAATGATGTAATTTAACAGCTTATTGTTTTATAATTTAAAAACAGCATGCTAAATTAAGTTAATTAGAAAGTGCATCCATGTGAATGCATAATTGTGTTAAAAAAATTCTGATATTGCAAACATCTGAATTATTGCATAGTATTTGAAATTTAGATATTTACAATTATATTATCAAAAGATATCAGAGCTTCAAGTTATTACTAATGAACTTAAGCATTACTTGAATATATGCCAGGCTTATTGCATAGCAAAAAATTTTTAAAGCCTATTTATATTAGAGTTAGATTCAGAGTTAGGAATTAAAGTAGAGTAATTTATATAGTAAAATAGTAAAATTGTCTAATAAAAACTTTTTGTTAAAGTATTAAGATGGTTTCTTATACTAATTTTTAAGAAATAAGTAATTTTTAACAAAGCAATGTTTGTTTGAATTTTTTTTGTAGTTCAGAAAATTTGCACTACAAATCTGGCATACATTTAAGCAATGCTGGTTTCAATTTTTAAAAATTTGATAATAATATGATATATAAGTACATGTTACTAGTCAGTTTTCAGAACTGAAATGTGAACTTTGAAGTGGAGTTCCTATCTATTATCTGTTTATCTATTGGATATCCAGATCTGAATTTATTTGAATATCTGTTTTACTATTAATATCTGGATAATATATATATATATTTTTCCCTTAAGCAATCATAGTAGTACTTTATTAAACCATTTGTAGCTATATATATAAATACAAAATATTATTTAACTTATAAGTCTATCATCATCTGGCCATCCAAATAGTACCTAAATGCAACCTGCTGTACTAATCCAGTTAGAACTAGAAATTACAACTCATCTGACTTCTGTTCTATAATAGGATACTGCCAATTTGGAGCCATCTTCTTATAAAGAAAATAAAAATAAAAATAAAACTAACAAAAAGAAAACAAAACTAATCTATAAGAAGAATAAAAAAAAAAACTTGCTAACAGAATAAAACTCTATTTTATGATTGCTGCTTACTACAATGTTTTTATTATTTTATAGACTATGACTATTCTTTAAAAACTAGATACTCTTAACTAGAATAAAAACTGTATTCACTTGTAAGACAGAGTTCAAGTTAGGCACTTTTTATATAGAAGAATTCTTCAAGTAGATAAAGTACTATGCCAAGGTTTGGAATATACTTAAATGGTCTAATTCTTTATAAACCTTCATAATTATTTTTTTTAAAAATATTATGCACATGGCCTTAAATATATGCATATCTTAATATATTTTTAGTCTTTCTGAATTAAATCTTTTTCTGATCTGCTCTACATGATTGGCTGATTTATGTGTTTGTTGTGTTCCTTATTCATTATGTCTAAACAAGTATATAACCACAAAAGAAAGTAATGTACAAAGTCGATCTTTTGATAGAAGTAAGCCAAATTCACATTTTTTGAAAAAAAAACAAAAAATGATGAAGAGAAGATATATTATTGTTGCAAGAAACCAAGTTAAGAAGAGTTTTTCTAGTTGTTCTTCTTTTTTTTCTGTTTCTAATATTCTTAACCAGAAAACTAATTTTGTTTCTACTTGCTTTCAGAATATCCTTTCAGTTTGGATACTGAATATGCAAAGGAGTCCACCAGACAAAAAGTTCAACCAAAGGCAAGAACCACTCAAGTTTTGTCTGCTTCTCAGTATATCATATACTTGAGCTTTGTCAATAGCAAGTTTACTTAATGTAAAACTAAAAATATTATCTACTTTAGAGCCAAAGTCTTTAATTTACTTTCAGTGCCAACTTGGTCCAAGTAATCATCAGAAAGAGTTTTGTTTAGACTATATGATATCTGAAAAATATAATTATTTAAATATTTGTTAGATTATCCAGATATCAATAGTAAATAGATATTTAGATAAATTTAGATACAAATATATAAATAATGAATTTATTCAGATTAGATCTTTACTTTGAAGTAAAAACCTGATTCTAGAAGCATGCTTATATAAATTGCTAGAAAAAGAAAAGGTTGTGTTTTTTAATTTTATATAATATATGTATTAACATTTAGTTGTAATAATAATACTTATCATATCAACATGAGAGTTGAAATCTTTTTTAAACATATAGTGTATTAGTTTCTTTAGAATTAGGTTGTAGCATCTGTTAAAGTAAAAGTAGTAAATATTAATGATATGAAATTAGGTAAAGATAGTATGTTTTAGCAAAAGCAAGTAGTAAGCATAAGTGAAAAGCATCTGTTAGGACAAGAATATTAGACATTAGCAGTATTATAATCATTTTGATTTAGTGCAAACTTTGATTTGAAACATATAAGTTATATCAAAATTAAAATTAGAACTAGGGTTCCAGATAAGAATTTTGTATTACTTTTTTTAATTATTCTAAAACACAATTTAATCAATTTAAAAACATCAGCCTGCCAAACAATTTGCAAAATTTTTATTCTAAATAACTTGATTCTGAATTGGACTGGTTTTAGTTTTGAGCATACTTATTTTATTTATATTTGGACTTACAGTAAATAAAAGATTTTAATAAAACTACTAATCTAAAACTGCAATTATATTTTATTTTGCAATTTGATTGGTTAGTTTATATCACATAATATTTTCAAATTCAATAACCTCTTAAAACTGATACAGAACCTATCTATCATGCACATTAGTTTGAAGAGGATCAACAGTAAATTGCTTTAAATGTTTAGTAATTTTTAATTACATTAACTAGTTTTAGAAAATTATGAAATACTTTAAAACAAATTAATTTATATTGAAAACAATAATTATTTATAGAATATTTATT